CGTCTCTACTAAAAATACAAAAAATTAGCCGGGCATGGTGGCGCGTGCCTGTAATCCCAGCTACTCGGGAGGCTGAGGCAGGAGAATTGCCTGAACCCAGGAGGCGGAGGTTGCGGTGAGCCGAGATCGCGCCATTGCACTCCAGCCTGGGCAACAAGAGCGAAACTCCGTCTCAAAAAAAAAAAAAAGAAAGAAAAGAAAAAGAAAATGTTCTGGAGACCTGTTGTACAACAATGCAAAAATACTGAACATTACTGAGCGATACAGTTAAAACGGTTAGGGCGCTAACCTTAACGTTACGTGATTTCTACCACAGTATAAAAAAGATTCATAACAAAGTTATAAGAAGAAACTGAATTCCCAATGAGACAAGAAGATGGGCAAAGAACAAATGCTTAATAAGGAAATAAACAAGTCATCCAAGAAGGGCAAATTAAAGCAACATTGAGGTATAATTTTTGCTTAATAAGTCATCTGTTTTCTCAATGTTAGTCTTTCGTGTTGGCGCAGCTGCAGAAAATGGGTGTCATGACACATGACAGGCGGGATTTGAAGTTGGTTAAGCTTTCTGGAAGGCAGTTTGGTGAACAGCATAACAAAGTAGCACAGTCTTGCATATCCTTTGATTGAAATTTCCTTCTAAAAGTTGACCTGGAGGAATTCATTAGAAACGTGTGCAAAGATTGTTTTACAAAAATATAAACCGTAAGATACTTTATAACAAAAACTATTAAATTTTCAGCTTGTGTGGTGGTGTCATGGAGATATATGGGGAACTTTTTGTTTGGGCCTAAAACTAGGGTGCACCTTTCATTCCTGTCTTTTCTTCACACCGATATCCAATGCATCGGGGAGTCTTGCCATCTAAGGCGGACGCTGCTGCTCCACTGCTGTTATCTCAGCCCACTACGACGCTCCAGGATAGCGGCAGACATTTCCCCACGTGCACGCTTTCCTTTTCCCACTGTTGCACACGTGCAGCTGGGCCCCTGGCCCCTGGAACAGCTCACTTTCTCCAGTCTCCCTTGCAGCTAGATGTCAGTGCTTGGTGGAGCTCCTAGGCTGATGGGGTGGGAGCAGAGGTGGGGTGCTTGGGATGGAGAGGAGCACGCTCTCCCCTTTACCCCTTATAAAATGTTATAAAAATTATAAGCTGGGTGAGGTAGCTCACACCTGTAATCCCAGCACTTTGGTTAATTGAGGCAGATGAATCACCTCAGGTCAGGAGTTCGAGACCAACCTGGCTAACAGAGTGAAACCCCATCTCTACTAAAAATACAAAAATTAGCCAGGTGTGGTGGCATGTGCTATAATCCCAGGTACTCAGGAGGCTGTGACAGGAGAATTGTTTGAACCTGGGAGGCGGAGGTTGCAGTGAGCTGAGATCACACCACTGCACTCCAGCCTGGGTGACAGAGAGAAACCCTGTCTTAAAAAAAATGATAAAAATGTTTTAAAAAAGTAATACAATATGCAATATTGTATTACCTTTTAAATACCATTTCCCAAACTGCCTTCCAGAAAGCTTAAGAAATGTGTAATTCTGCCTGCTATGGGTAAGGATTCCCATTTTCCTGCAACTCCACCAGCACAGAATATTAAAACTTAGAAAGTAGCTGCAATGTGGGAATGGTTCTCATTAATTTAGAGTGATTAGGTCAATGTCTTTGGGGTCACTCAAAGCAACAGGATGGAAAGAGGCCACACCCTGACCTGCTGGAGACACCTTATGGGTCCCAGGCCACTGACATTCAGACAGGGTATTGAAAGCAGGTTGGCATCATAAGGTCTTATTCCAGCGGCCAGAACACAGTCCCCTAACACTCTCTAATGCTCTCTGTTCCTCTTGAATTTATTCTCCCTGTACAGCCAGAATGATCTTCTGAAAACACGAGTCCTTCCTTGCGGCTCCCCTGCAGATCGCCTCGCAGCGGCCTCCCACTACACGCAAAATCCAGCTCCTCATGCTGGCTTCCCAGCTCCCTGGAGACTGAACTCAACTCACTCACTCCCCACATCCAGGCGGGCTGGCTTTCCTTCTCTTTCTCTTATGTTTCAGAAATGTGTGACATCAATCAATCAATCAATCAATCAATGGATGCATGGATATAAAATTTCCTTCACATATGTCTCAATAAAGATAGAATGAACAAAAGAAAGTAATTCAATAATGGCAACCACTTTCCCCGCATGACAACACTCCTTTACCAACGAAGTCAATGTGAAAATAACGCACCTTTCTCTGGCAAGAGAACTCAGAACATTCTCAATACAAAAGGTAGCTCAAACTCTGGCTTTCTACTTAGTTCTAGAGGAAGCCGCTCAGAGCCTCTGCTAACAACTCAACACACCAAGTTCTTTTTTTTTTTTTTGAGATGAAGTCTTACTTTGTCACCCAGGCTCACTGCAACCTCCGCCTACCAGGTTCAAGCCATTTTCCTGCCTCAGCCTCCCGAGTAGCTGGAACTACAGGTGCATACACCAGAACCAGCTAATTTTTTTATTTTTAGTAGAGACAGGGTTTTGCCATGTTGGTCAGGCTGGTCTCGAACTCCTGACCTCAGGTGATCCACCTGCCTTGGCCTCCCAAAGTGTTGGGGTTACAGGCGTGAGCCCCCGCACCTGGCCCCACCAAGTTTCAATCCAGTACATTTAATTCAGTTCAAGAATTAGTGAGTGCCTATATACTGTCTACCCTTCTTCTTATATTGTAAAATATGGAAGCTGTGGATAAGCGCCTTACCTGAAAAAGTTTATAACACTATTTCCAGAGTATTGTTTATATTTTAAATTCATTAGTTAATTAATCATAATATAGATAACATTTACCCTGTGTTTGCTCTAGGCTTAGCACTCTAATAAGTACACATTTTTTTCTTTTGAGGCAGAGTCGCACCGTGTCACACAGGCTGGAGTGCTGTGGTGCCTTCTTGGCTCACTTCAAGCCTTGCTTTCCAAGTTCAAGTGATTCTCATGCCTCAGCCTCCCAAGTAGTTAAGATTATAGGCATGTGCCATCAAGCCTGGCTAATTTTTGTAGTTTTTTAGTAGAGATGGGGTTTTGCCATGTTGGTCAGGCTGGTCTTGAACTCCTGACCTCAAGTAATCTGCCCACCTCAGCCTTCCAAAATGCTGGGATTACAGCACGAGCCACCGCGCCTTGCCTAAGTACACTTTAACTACTGCTTTATCCTTACGACAACATTATAAATAGGTATTACATCTATAACTCCCTTTACAGACGAGGAAACTGAGGCACAATGAAATTAAGTACGGTTGCACAAATAGCTAGCAGAGACCATGATTTCTTATGTCATTCTTTTTCCTGGGAGGTTCATAATGACCAATGAAAAACGGAAAACTGGTACTAAGATGTGGGACCTCTCTGAGCCTCAGTTTCCTCACATGGAAATAAAGGAGAATTGCTGCAGATGCTGCTCATTGCCTTAGAATACCTTTTCTCCTGTTTCCTTGTAACAGAATTTGAGTACTCTTTCATGCTAAAAAAAAAAAAAGTTAGGTTTCTCGGTCTTCCTTACAATTAGGTGTGGCCATATAACTAAGTTTTGCTGAATTGGATGCAACCAGAAATAGTATGTTGGATTCTTGTAAAGTTCTCCTGAAAAAAGGAAAGAGACTGGCCCTGGTTGAACTCCTGCCTTTTTACATTTTGATGATCTGCAGAATATAGATGTGATGGCTGGCATCTTGGCAGCTATCTTGGACCATGAGGTAATCGTGAGGATGGAATCCGTGCACCTAACTGCTGAAGTAGAAAGAAAGATAGGGCCTGGGTCTCAGATGTCATGGAACACCAAACCAGCCCTAGACCACTAACCCTAGGAACTTCTTTACATGAAAGAAGAAATTTGTACTTAATTGATAATTAGCCAGAGGGTAAGTAAGGTAGGGTGCCTGGACAGGGAGCTGTGTTGCTGTCAGCTGAATGCAGTTCCTAACTGGCGCACATGTCAAGGGGGTCTCCACCGAGACTTTCATTTCTAGCTCTAGAACATTTCATGTAGTATAGCAAGAAAAGGTCTGTAGGATGGGAAATGTTTCATTGGCTGCTGAAGGACAGGGAGAGGGACTTTTGTGGGAGTGGTGACCCGTATAGGCAGTGAAGAACAAGGGGGTTTGGAACAGGCGACAGCAGCATCAGGGCCATGTGAGGCAGGAGGAATGCGGAGTGTAGGGTGCGGGAAACAGCAGACAGCCAGGCCTGGGCTGAGCACCGCAGCAGGAGCTGCTCAGGCTCCTCAGACCAGAGGCGCGGAAGGAGCGAATTCTAATCAGCACCTGCTTGAGACAAATGGCGTTGCCATTCCCGGTGACAGAACCACTAAGGGCCCAAAGCAGAGCACACGACTGTCCCACAAAATAGTAACCAGGGAGGCTCGGTGCCTCTAACATAAAACAGCAAGGACCTTGTCAACCACAGTGACCCAAACACCTTTACATTTCCGAATGAACAACACCGTAACCAGGCTGGTGTCAGCATGCCACCGTCCAGGTCACCTTGGACTGAAAAACTCATTTCTGGTGCTCTTTGTGCATTGCACCAGAACGCTGGTCAATATTTCCTAATCGGTGGTCTGGGGGACCCGGCGGGTGTTTGGCAAATGTCTCAGCACATTTCACTCCCATGTTTTTTCTACATGGACTCCACAGCTGTGTGTGTGAGAGCCACAGGCGTCTACACCATACGGTACAAACACATTTATAAAGTCATCAACACTTCTCACACACCAGCAGACCCAAATCTAATACCTGGAGTTTATTTTCTAAATAATATGTTAAGAAAATTGTTTTTTTATATATAAGAATATTGACACACACACACACACACAAAATTGGCTATTGACAGTCAACTTTGTGGTTCCGTTTCTCCCTGTCCTGGTTCTTGGCTCCCCTACTTTTCCCCACCCAGCCTGGGTCCCAGGGCGGAGCCTTCCCTTCTTCCGAGTTCAGTCCTAACAGCCCACAGCGGGGCTTCCTTACCATGGCCAGCGGCACCACTCCAATCAGGTCCTTTGGGCTCACATAGATCTTGGACACTCCCAAGTCAGACGTGATCTCTCCGGGGTACTCGACCTGCCAGGTGACCAGCTGTGTGGCTGGCAGGTCACTGGGCTCTTCCACCTCCACGTCGATCTGCATGACCTCATAGGAGGCGCCATCCCCACTGGAGAGAAGACACAGAGAAGAAGAGCTTTAAGGGACTGATGAGGCATAGCATGCTTGGCTAGGAGCGGGCAGCCCTTGGCCATTTCTTTCTGTACCTCCACGTGTAACCAAGTGCACACATCCCTGTAAAGAGCCATCAGATACGCCATTCCAAAATGAACAGGCCGGCTTTAATATGCTTTGCAGCATCTGCCTGGGCTTACACACTGTCACTCCAGTTTCCAAAGTCCCTGTGCTGTGGGCTGCTCAGCTGCCCCAGAGCAGGTCTTTTTGGATAATTACGGGAAGCAGTGATTCCATTTCTTACAGGCTTCGCTTCCTTTCCCATTCTCCGTTAGGAGCACACTTTCCCTCATTCCCACAAATTTCTAGGCCACTTCTACCGGATTTTCCAAAGCTACAGTCAGATGGAGTAGGGTGCACAGAATTTTAAGGATGTCTGAGGGTCACATGGCTCTGTTATCTGGCAGTGGTAAGAAAGAATTGCAGAGAAACAGGTGAGGTGGGCACGGCACAGCAGGGTCAAGGGGGTCGCTGTGATGAACATGGAGAAGGCGCCAGATGTTACATGGAAATGGGAGTCATGGTGACCAAGACTAGTTTTTAGACACTCACTTTTCCTATAAGCACACATGTAGAAACAAGTCCACCTAGGATTTTCTGGATTGTTCTTACAGGGCTGTAAGTAGTTTAACTAGCTGGCTGCCTCGTCATAGTGAGTTTTGGTATAATGTCTGTTCTTCTATGTGACAGGTAATAAAATGTAGACTTGGTGCCCGCCTCTCCCTGAAGAGTAGATGAACCGGGTGTGGGTGAGAACGAGCAGAGGAACCACTGAGAGAGATGCTTTTTAAAGCCTCAGGGGCCGAAGCAATGTCTACCTGTCAGATTTTATACCACTGAGAAATGACCACTGAACTCTGACGTTTAGGAGCATAAGGTTTGTCCTTTTCTCTGAAAGGACATGTGGCGGAGCTATGACATTTTTATCACACTAGCAAACTCACCTAAGTTTATCAGAAAGAAGCTCAGAGATAAACAGTGAGGCTTCCAGGGAGCCTTATCCTCAGGGAGGGATGAGATAGAAAACTAGAATACCAGCAGAGATTCTAACGGACAGCGAAGGAAGGAGGGAAGGAGAGAGAGAGACAGAGTGAGAGAGAAAGGAGGGAGAAAGAAATGGAAGGAGATAAATAGAAAGAAGGGAAAGATAAAAGCGATCACTTGAGATCAGGAGTTCGAGACCAGGTTGGCCAACAGGGCAAACCTCATCTCTACTAATAAGACAAATATTAGGTGGGCGTGGTGGCATGTGCCTATAATCCCAGCTACTTGGGAGGCTGGGGCATGAGAATTGCTTGAACCTGGGAGGCAGAGGTTGTGGTGAGCTGGGATTACACCATTGCACTCCGGCCTGGGTGACAGAATGAAAATGGGTCTTAAAAAAAAAAAAAGAAAGAAAAATAGAAGAAGAGGAGGGAGAGAAGAAAACAAAGAGGAGAGGAGGGAGGGGCCAGAGAAATGAGATGAGAAGAGCTACCAAAAGAACGAACCCCAGTTGCAGAAGTCAGCCTTCCACCTACGGAGTAGCTGTAATGGGCTGTCAGTAATGAAGGGGAAAAGATGACGGCTGCTTTTGAACCCTACAAAGCTCGCTCCCTTGTGGCTCCTGAAAGACAGTTGTTTAACTCTTTGAGAAGCAGCTGCTGTGATTAAACATCATCAACAAGTCGTCCGGGCCACGGTGCGCTTTCTTCTCCCACACCTCTCTCTTCAGAAGAAAAGGATGCTGCTGCCTCTTTGAAGCCCCAGACCGGCATTCTTATTCACGGCTGGAAGGAACTTGGAATTAAGATGCTGGATGCACCTTTGTTTTCGTATTAAAGCTTCACGGGAATTTTGGTATGGCTTTCCCATGTGATGAATGGAATAATCACGTTTGTCTGTGCAGGGCCTTGCCTTCTGTTTTTACTCACAAAGAAAGGAATTTATAGAACAGAATTAGGAGAGCTGCCTTTGAGCCATGAGAAGGCCTGCATCAGTGTAGCTCCCTGGAGAGTAACATGAGGCTACCCTACATGTCACATCACGCTCTAGCCTATTTCCTTCCAGGTTCCCTGGCCTCAAATAAAGACCAGCAATCCTTGCTTCCACTGGAACACCGGACGTCTCCCCGTTTTAGACTTTGCTTTACAAACAGTTTTTGGAGTTTGCTTTATTGGAAAAATCTTATAAATCCCTGAATATATTTAAGTTCTTGCCATCCTAGAAGTCTCACCTATAACGCAATTCAGTAAATATAACGTAGTAAGTGCTCCATTTACTTCATCTAATTTCACTCTTCCTGTGACCGTATTACTTCATGTAGAGTGGAACATGGAGAAGCCATCAATATTGCCTACTATGTCTATACTTAAGCCTGCAATTTATGATTGTTCCATAAATTTAGATTTTCCCCTTTTCTTTGTTTATTAAAAAAGTTTTTTTATATACTTTTAAGTTCTGGGATACATGTATAGATTGTGTAGGATTGTTACACAGGTCTACACGTGCCATGGTGGTTGGCTGCATCCATCCCCCTGTCACTTACATTAGGTATTTCTCCTAACATTATCCCTCCCCAATCCCCCCACCCTCTTCTATCCCTCCCCTAGCTCCCCCAACCCCCTGACAGGCCCCGGTGTGATGCTCCCCTCCCTGTGTCCATGTGTTCTCATTGTTCAACACCCACTTATGAGTGAGAACATGAGGTGTTTGGTTTTCTGTTCTTGTGCCAGTTTGCTGAGAATGATGGTTTCCAGCTTCATCGATATCCCTGCAAAGGACACAAACTAATTCTTTTTTATGGCTGCATAGTATTCCATGGTGTATATGTGCTACATTTTCTTTATCCAGTCTATCACTCGTGGGCATTTGGGTTGGTTCCAGGTCTTTGCTATTGTAAACAGTGCTGCAATGAACATATCTGGGCATGTGTCTTTATAGTAGAACGATTTATAATCCTTTGGGTATATACACAGTAATGTGATTGCTGGGTCAAATGGTATTTCTATTTCTAGATCCTTGAGGAATCGCCACACTGTCTTCTGCAATGGTTGAACTAATTTACACTCCCATCAGCAGTGTAAAAGTGTTCCTATTTCTCCACATCCTCTCCAGCACCTGTTGTCTCCAGATATTTTAATAATCACCATTCTAACTGGTGTGAGATGGTATCTCAATGTGGTTTTGATTTGCATTTCTCTAATGACCAGTGATGGTGAGCATTTTTTCATATGTTTGTTGGCTGCATAAGTGTCTTCTTTTGAAACTGTCTGTTCATATCCTTTGTCTGCTTTTAGATGGGGTTGTTTTTTTCTTGTACATTTGTTTGAATTCTTTGTAGATTCTGGATATTAGCCCTTTGTCAGATGGGTAGATTGCAAAATCATTTTCCCATTCTGTTGGTTGCCAGTTCACTCTAGTGATAGTTTCTTTTGCTGTGCAGAAGGTCTTAAGTTTAATTAGATCCCATTTGTCTATTTTGGCTTTCGTTGCCTATGCTTTTGGTGTTTTAGTCATGAAGTCCTTGCCTATGCCTATGTCCTGAATGGTATTGCCTAGGTTTTCTTCCAGGGTTTGTATGGTGTTAGGTCTTACATTTAAATCTTTAATCCATCTGGAGTTAATTTTTGTATAAGGTGTAAAGAAGGGTTCCAGTTTCAGCTTTTGGCATATGGCTAGCCAGTTTTCCCAACACCATTTATTAAATAAGAAATCCTTTCCTCATTGCTTGTTCTTGCCAGGTTTGTCAAAGATCAGATGGTTGTAGTTGTGTGGTATTACTTCTGAGGCCTCTGTTCTGTTCCATTGGTCTCTATCTCTGTTTTGGTACCAGTACATGCTGTTTTGATTACTGTAGACTTGTAGTATAGTTTGAAGTCAGGTAGCGTGATGCCTCCAGCTTTGTCTTTTTGCTTAGGATTGTCTTGGCTATATGGGCTCTTTTTTGGTTTTATATGAAGTTTAAGGTAGTTTTTACCAGTTCTGTGAAGAAGGTCAATGGTAGCTTGATGGAGATAGCATTGAATCTATAACTTCTATAAATTACTCTGGGCAGTATGGCCATTTTCATGATATTGATTCTTCCAATCCATGAGCATGGAAGGTTTTTCCATCTGTTTGTGTCCTCTCTTACTTCCTTCAGCAGTGGTTTATAGTTTTTCTTGAAGAGGTCCTTCCCACTCTTTGTTAGTTGTATTCCTAGGTATTTGATTCACTTTGTAGCAATTATGAATGGGAGCTTGCTCATGATTTGGCTCTCTGTTTGCCTGTTATTGGTGTATAGGAATGCTTGTGATTTTTGTACATTAATTTTGTATTCCAAGACCTTGCTGAAGTTGCTTATCAACTTAAGGAGATCTTGGGCTAAGACAATGGTGTCTTCTAAATATACAACCGTGTTGTTTGATTTCCTCTTTTCCTAATTGAATACCCTTTATTTCTTTTTCTTGCTTGATTGCTCTGGCCAGAACTTCCAGTACTATGTTGAATAGGAGTGGTGAGAGCAAGGGCACCCTTGTCTTTTGCCAGTTTTCAAAGGGAATGCTTTCAGTTTTTGCCCATTCAGTATAATATTGGCTGTAGGTTTGCCACCGCTTTTATTATTTTGAGATACGTTCCATGGATACCTAGTTTATTATTAAGAGTTTTTAGCATAATTTTGTCAAAGGCCTTCTCTGCATCTATTGAGAAAATCACGTGGTTTTTGTCTTTGGTTCTGTTTATGTGATGGATTATATTTATAGATTTGCCTATGTTAAACCAGCCTTGCATCACCAGGATGAAGCCAACTTAATCGTGATGGATAAGCTTTTTGATTGCTGTTGGATTTGGTTTGCCTGTATTTTATTGAAGATTTTTGCATCAATGTTCATCATGGATATTGGCCCAAAATTTTCTTTTTTAGTTGTGTCTCTGCCAGGTTTTGGTATCAGGATAATGTTAGTCTCATAAAAT